ATATATATGTATGTATGTATGTATGTATGTATGTATGTATGTATGTATATAAATGATAAAATCAGAAAACAATCCATATGTTTTTGAAATATCAACATAAGTTAATATTCACAAATTATAAGGTAGGTGAAACCGAGAATAGTTTCAGAAATTTGAGTCCTGGTCAAGGAGGGATATTATTCATCATTATCATTGCGTCAGGTATTATAGTTGGTTTAGTCATCTGCACTGTGTGTCTTACGCAGAATGCGAGGATTTATGTGCGTGTGTGTGTGTGTGTGTTTTCGCGTATTTGTGATTGTGTGTGAAGTACTGTTCATAATGCAACCAATATTTTCAGCACTAGAAACTGTCCAGTATGACATTACAGAACTAAACAGGCGCCACAACAGCCAGTCTCGCCGCTGTGGCTGGCTCCGCTCCCTCCTGCGCGTCCCTTCCTCTTTCCCTCGACCTCCATCCACACCACAGCGTCGCCAGTGATGTCATAGTCCTTCAGCCTCCGGTCCTCCTGCATCTCGACGCCTCCTGCAATGAGCTGCAGCTTGCTCGCGCTCACGCCCGCATCCCTCGCCGCCACGTCCCTCACCTCGCGCACGGAGCTCTCCTCGTCGACGACCATCTTGGTAACATTTCCCGAGTCGGTCGCCACAGAGAGAAGGGATACGTGGACGGCAGCGGCCATTTCACAAAGTTTGATCCCCACTGTATCTCCTTCCCTTATCCCATTTTGGGAGATGGTCTTCTCATCGTCCAGTATCCTGCCACTCTTATGCAGACTGTCCGAATCGTCACATATCCCCTTCGAAACCAACATCCGCAGAAGGTCATCGATCGTGTCCGAAGCGTTGACCTCGAAGGCGTGTCGAGAACCAGAGGCGTCGACGTAGACGATCATCACGGAGGCTGGAAGGAAAAGAGATGCTGATGGCATGATGGTGGTACCAGTGGCCTTCATTATAATCACAATGTATGAGGGACAGAGGCTGTTTCCATGGACATGTGAATATTTTTCTATGACTAGAAGAAAGAAACTATGCCTGATGAAAACAAGTACCAGAAACGGTTTAGCTCTCATATGTAACGTAGCCATCAGACAAATCGCCATTTTAATAGTAACGAATGAGCTCTGATGAAAGTCAATAAAGAAATATGAGAACACTCCTTAATAACTATTAGATAGAAAGAAGCCAGAGATTTACTTCATATTTATCGATATCTACCTTTAGTCTCACAACAATAAGCAATGAATTAAAATTACCTTTTCAAGTCTGGAAATTATAGAAAATTACATACATCTGTGTATATATACACACAAGAAAACACGAATATGCCAAAGGCTTTCGGCATATTCATGTGTTTTCTTGTTTTCCCCTTCGTTGTTCCTGTTACAAACACGAACAGACACACATACAGATATATATATATATATATATATATATATATATATATATATATATATATGAAAGATGGAATAATGCACTAGCCGCATTAATATCATGAATTTATAACCTCTTCGACAGGGATTCGAACCCCCACCGCCATTGCAAAGAATTCACAAAACGGGCACTCTATCCACTGATACACGACCCAACAACAGAAGTGTGCAACTAGGAGCTTACTAGCATCCATAGACATTACCTATCTACTCATAGGATAGGGAAGTTTTACACACACTCCACGTGGGCACGGTATATATAGAAAGAGCAATGGCAGTGGGGGCTCGAATCCCTGTCAGAGAGGTTATAAATTCATGATATCAGTGCAGCCAGTTTATTATTCCATCTTTCATTGAATACACCACAGGATATTTGATTTGGGGTTTGAACTGCTCTTTCTATGCTAGTAAGCTCCTAGTTTCACACGTCTTTTGTTGGGTCGTGTATCAGTGGATATAATGCCCATCTTGGTGAATTCTTTGCAATGGCGGTGGGTGTTCGAATCCCTGTCAGAGAGGTTATAAATTCATATACATATATATATATATATATATATATATATATATATATATATTATATATATATATGTGTGTGTGTGTGTGTGTGTGTGTGTGTGTGTGTGTGTGTGTGTGTACATTCATAAAAATATGTATATATGAATGATACATATATATATATATATATATATATATATATATATATATATATATATATTACACACACACACACACACACACACACACACACACACACACACACACATACACACACACACACACACACACACACACACATTTTAATGAGATTTTAGCCAAAGGTGTGTTTTAACCTAACTTAGACGCTTATTGCACTTTGGTGGTGATGCAGAACATGGTGTGGATCCAGGATTTTTTTTTTCTAACTCGAAAAGTTATCAACAGATTTGAATAAAAATTTTACCTGAGGTTTGTCTTAGCCTAATTAATATTCCATAAAATGTTGGTGATCCGGAACATTTGGCAATCCTACCCCCCATTTGGGGGGGGGGAAGGTTTGCATTTTTGAAATGTTTTGCTCATAGT